CAGGCTCCTGATGTGGGTAGGTGAAGACCCTGCTTAATGGGCAGAGCAGTGTCAAATGTCAAGAACCTGCCACTTCACAGCTGAAACAACTGAAGTTAAAGTTCCAGTATATACCCTGTTGTATTGCGGTAATGAGGGCCTACGCTGTTGAGATAGCCCCACACAAGTCTATGCCGGGGGAAAGGCACTCAAAGTCCATGGATCCCTTATGCCTGTGCCTAGGCAAAGGAGCTGTGCCTACCATGGGTTCCTGCCTTAGGGGAGCCGGCAGTTTATTTTTTCCCGTTTGTTAATGTGTTCACTCTCCAAGGCAGGGAGAATGGCTCTGGGCATGTGACATATCCTATTTCCAGCCCAGGGGACTCAGCAATTGCTGAAGCTGGTCCAGGACCCAGTGCAGAGCAGGGAGCGGGGAGTAAAATGGGAGAGAGGTTTTTCCCTGAGGGGGGTGTTTTTGATCTGCGCGGTAAGCTGTACGCAAGTACTTGTCTTTTGTTGAGGGCTGCTTTTCACTGGTTCTGCGTGGCCGAGTAGACTCTCAGCAGCTGGATCTCTCCGGGTAAGGAATACACCTCCCGAGCACTGATGCTTGCCTGCCTCACTGCTCACCCCCAAGCTGATCAGGCCTGAAGGGCTCAGGCTCTCACCAGGTTAGGTCTGGCAACTCCTTGCTGCTTCCAGATGGTCTCTCCCTACCCCTGCCACTCAGTCCGGTTCCTCAACCCTGCCTTTGATGTTCAGGGCTCTCAGATTGCCATATATAATTGAATCACTTGTTTTTTCGGGTCTTTGTTGTAAGAGGGTCCACCAGAAGCATCTGACTACTCCACCATCTTGGCCTTGCCTCCATATCGCCTCACTCTTATCTATTATGAAGAGATTTTACAGGCTCAAACTTTAGCTCACATTTGTCCAAATTTGAATGACAAGAGTTAGAATTTTGGGTTTTTTTGCCTATATGGACACACATAAGCTCAACATATGACTTGTCAAGAACAAGAACTGAAATAATTATGCTGTAAATTCAAGTTTCAGAAGTATGCCATGAAAAGAAGGGGGCAGGAGACAAAAGAGGAGGTTTAAGTCTTAAATAGAATTTGCCTGTCACCACTAGCCTGTCCTGTTGGGTGTGAAGAAAATAGAAGCCAAGCTGAGATAGAATATTGTGGTATGTCATTTCTTCTGAAAGAGCTTTACTTATTCTATTTACATCTGCAAACTTTCAAACCTGAGTATATTAAGCATGAAAACTTGCCTTCAAGAAATAATTCTAAATTATCTGCATGTTAGTTGTGCTGTCTGTGGTTTCTCAGTATCATTAAACTGTTCTGAGAACACATATTCATGGTGAAGAACACAGTGTTTAAAAACTCTTATATTCAAAATAGATTTAAAATACAGGTAGTTCCCAACTTACGACTTATTTGAGTTAGGATGAACTACACTTACAACATTTTTCTTTTTTTTTTTTTTTTTACATCTTATCATTAGTAATATGTACTACTTACAGTGTTGCAGCTTGTAATTTGCTGATGTTATCATTCTCAGATGTAATTTTTCCAACCCCCAAAGATCAGATTTATAAAGATACTGATAATAAAAGACAATAATAATGAAACTGAAAGAAAAAAAAAATGAAGTGTTCTACTTACATCAGAACCAACTTGCGACAGAGTAGTTGTTGAAACAGAACTCCATCTTAAGTCAGGGACTACCTGTATTTAGGTAGAGAAAAGCAGAAAACTGTTTGGTAAGAAGGCTTTAAAATCTAGCTATAATCAAAATAGAGCTACAAAATGAACAGCTTGATGAGATAAACCTTTTCAGTGTTAATGAGCTTTTCATTAGGAAGAAGGAGAACCTGAAGAGTAATAAAAGTACCAAGACTAGGAACAACAAGCCACACTAGTAATGATAAGTAACTATATCTTCTTTGGACAATATCTCAGGGTTGAGTAGAGAAAGAAGAGAACACATGTGCTTTCAAGTTTTCATGAATGTCTTAATTCTGGAGTGAGCAGTATACTGTATGAGCAGTATATTGGCTACTTTGAACAGCAGCATTGTGAATAGATTCCATTTAATTGAGTGTATTTTATTTAGGCTTGTTCAGAGATGCAAAAGGAGATATAAATTAAGAATTTTCGCTCCCAGTATAGCAGTAGAGCATAGTAGTTAATAAAGTGGAGCAAATTGCTCGGTGTCTCAGTTTCCCGACATGTAAAGTGGAGATATTAAGAGTACTTACCTCACAAGGTTGTTGTGAAAGTTGAACAACTTAAGGTATTTAAAGCTCCTAGAGATAGCCTTCAGCACATAGTAAGCACTTTATAATTGTTAGCTCTTAATAGTGTAATTATTATTATAGTAGGTATATGAGTGGGCTCTGCCTGTCAATTAATTCGACCTATAATGGCTAATTCATAGGATTATGATAACAATGTCTGACATATAGCCTGTTCACAGTAAATGTTTTCTTTTATTGTCATTACTATGGAGAGCTCTATTAATACTTTTTTAGCATGTTTGAATTGTTGCTTGTCCTTGGAATTTATGAAATTGAGTTTTTAATTCAAACTGACCTTTATTTTGATTTGTTAGAATGTGAGGCTTTATTGTGCCAAGAAAAGTTCTCTGTAATTCAGTGAGTATAGTCTACATTTGACTCCTGAGTTAGGAAAATAGGAAATGTGTCTTAAAAAGATTAGAGTTTTGGAGAGGTAAATATTCCACAGGAAGCAGGATACCTCAGTTAACTTTTCCAGTATGAGAATTTTTCCATTTGATAATAAATCTTATTCTTAAAATATCAAATTCTCATACAGATCTCTGTGAACTTTTGACTGTGGTTCCTTAACTTATTCTTCAAATCTTGAAATTCTATGGAATTGGTTCTTTTGTCTGATCTCTTTCACAGGCTATTGAAAAGTATTGCCGAGTGAGTGGTGGATTTTCTGGGGTCAAGGATGTATATTCCTCTACTCCTACACATGATGATGTCCAACAGAGCTTCTTTCTTGCTGAAACATTAAAGTAAGTATATGCCTTTTTTATTTATTTTTTATTGCAGACTGGTTTTGTTGTGTGATCACTACATAATAAATTATTATTATCCAATACATTACACTAAATTTTATTACAAATATCTTTTCATATATTTGGGTCTTAAATTTTTAACTGCATCTCAAGAAGAATGACTTAGAATATGACTTAGATATTTTATCAAATAAAAATTTAGTACCTTTGAACTGTTTTGTCCTGGGCTCTTCAGTGTGCATCAGAATCACCAGGAAGGCTTCTTAAAACACAAACTACTGGGCTATATCCTGAAATTTTCTGTCTCAGTAGCTCTGGGGTGAAGCCTGAGAATTTGCATTTCTGACAAGCTCCTAGGTGATGCTGATGATGCATATCCTGGAACCATATCTTGAGCACCCTGAAATCTCTTCAGAATAATCATAGAGTTTTAATGGTATCTCTTCAGGATAATCATGGGCTTTTAATGACACTAGATGGTATGTGACCATAGCCATCTATCTTCCCAGGGATATTTCCCATAAAGATAAACATAAAGGGAACAATGGAAAAGAAAAAAGACAACTTTATTATTTGGGCTTCTACTCAAAACCCCAGAAACTAGCCTGGAGGAGATAGAGACCTTAAATATGTCTGCTTCCGTAAACATCTAAAAAGTATATATCTCTTGATACCTTCTGCTAATTCCATATTTTCATTTCCTATATACTGTACCTAAATATCTTATAACCTTTTTATTTGTTTAACAAATATTTACTGAATACCTAAGTAAGTGGCAAGCACTGTTCAGGGCACTTGGATATATCAGTAGACAAAAAAGACAAATTCTTGCCCTCTTAGAGTTTGCATTCTAGTATACTTCTAGCTTACATTCTGGCATATTACAATTAAAGTATACATGTCTCAAATTAAGTTCCTTATCCTAAATGGCCACCTTATCCTAAATGGCCACCTTATTCTGATTTTTTTTAAATTATCTCTGGTACTATTATTCCCCAACTTTTCAGCTTGCATGTTATAAAGCCGTTTCTGTTTCCTCTTTCTAACATATCACAAGTCTTCTGTTACATTGTTTCTTTAATTGCCCTCTTCTTTCCATATCTACATTCGACCCTAATGCAGACCTTTATTACTATTGAGATGGTTTGGAACATTTGCCCGATAGTCAATTCTCTGCTTCTAGTCATTCCTTCCATAGTGTCGCTGTGAGTCGGAATGTGTTTGACGGCGGTGGGTTTGGTCATTCCTTGTTCTTATTTATCCTATATGATTAGTTTTCAGAGATTGTATGAAGTAGGTGAAAAAGTACTTAACTTTAAGTTACATGCTTGCTACACACAACCTAGCTGATTATCATGTCAAAATAAAACTTTTTTCATTTCAGCTTACATTTCTGTAAACTGAAATTTGACCCAGATTATGCAAGAAGTCTTCTTTTTTTTTAATTTCAAAACTTAAAATATGTAAAAATAGTACAATAAATATTTGTGTATTCTTCATCTGTATTTACCAACTGTGACTTTTTGCAACATTTTATCTTGTTCTGTCTATACCCACACACACCCACACATACACACACACACAATATACATATACACACCCACACATAGTTTTACTATTTTATTTTAAAACATTTTTCTGCTGAACAATTTGAAAGTTAACCTCATGATACTTCAGCATCTTGCTTTCAAGAAAAGGACATTCTCCTGCATAATCATAATAGTTATCGCACCTGAGAAACTTAAACATTGATACAACAGCACTGTTATCTAACATGTTATCAAATTTCCCCATTTCTTCCAATAATACACTGTATAGCTGTCTTTTACCCCAGTGATAATTTTAAATTACTCAGTGCCAGAAGGGAAATGTAAACAAAATGTAAAAGTCTTTTAGAGGAGGAAAAATTTGCCTAAAGGAAAACGTCATGGAAACCATGGCAGTTAGCCAGACTTGAAGGCAAAGTAAGATTAACATGGCAGATGAGTTGGTATTCAGGATGGTGGTTGTAAGGCAGATGTTATAGATTGAATTGTGTTACCCAGAAAAGATATGTTGAAGTCCTAACCCCCAGTGCCCATGACTATGACCTTGTTTAGAAATAGGGTCTTTGTAGATGCTTTCAGTTAACATGAGGTCATACCAGAAGAAGGCAGGTCCTAATCACATCTGAGTGGTATCTTATAAAAGAGAACAGACAGAGAGGCAGAAATAGACACAGGGGGAAGACATAATAGAAGATGCACGTAGAAACCAAGGAACACCAAGGAATGCCAGGAGCTTCTAGAAGCTAGGAGAAAGGCATGGAACAGTTCCAATAGCCAATACCCTGGTTTGGATTTTTGGCCTCCAGAACTGTGAGAAAATAAATTTCTATTCTTTGTGGCTACCCACTTTGTGGTATTTTGTTACAGCAGCTCTAGAACACTAAGGCAGTAGACAGTGGAATATTAAGAATAAAAGAGATCTCAAAAGTGGAACTGACAAGCCTTGATATCATATTAGATATGGGGAGATTCAGTAAAATGTAAGAATCAGAGATGATATTAAAGTTTCCAATCTAGTAAACTGTAAGGATTATGATACCAAAGAGTGAAAATAAGACAATTGAAAAAAGAAATAGGTTTTCAGAGAAGATACTGAGTTACTTTTGGAACATGTTTCCAAGAGGCATTTGTAAATACAGATCTATAGCTCAAAAGATAAATTCAGAATGATTTTGAAGTATGAAAGAAAAGATGTAGGTCTGACCCTTTGAAAATGCCTCCCTTAACAAATGAGAGGGAGTTCCAGTTTAGCTTGCCAGAACAGACACATGCATTTATCCTCCACTCTCCCTTGAAAGCCATTAAAATGACAGTAGAGGGCAAAAGAGATACAAAGGGTATCGGCAAAGAGAATGAGAAAGAAATCAACAGCAGATAAGAGATGTCAGCAAAATTGTAGAAGACTGAAATAAAAGCAGAGAAAGCTAAGTATCTGCATCAAGGGAAGTTAATTTAAAGCAAGCTGATGAGTACTTCAGAACCTTGGAAGGATCCAAGGCCAGGGTGCAGACTAGGACTGAAAACTAGAAATTTTTTTGAAGTTTGTATAAGGAGTAGTTAGACCCCAAATCAACCCCTGCCCCATCTCTACCCTGAACAAAACTTAGAGATTTGCTATCTGAAGAGGCTGAATGATAGAGACTATGGACTTACTAATAGGCTCAAATGAAAGTAGACAGAAGATCTGAAGATTTCTTTCTGGGGAAATTGATTAGCCCGTGAGAAGAGATCTTTAGATACTGATATGTAAGATTCCCTCAACAAAATAGCCATGTCCCCACCCATTCACCAATGATGAAGCCCAACAGTAAGCACCAACCTGCCTATAGAGATTCCAATCAGCATTTTAGTGCTTCACTTTTAAATACTAATAGTATGGACTTAGAAATGTTTATCAAGCTATGGTCGTATAAGACTTGTGTAGTTTATGTATGTCTGTTATACTTTAAGTTTATTTTAAAAATAAAATATGACTAGATGGCTAAGAATCATCATATACTTGAGGTAAGTTCCCAAGCTTCTAATACCAAAATAACCGTGAAAGGGCGGTAGGGGGAAGGAACTCAACAGCAGACGCAACACAGGGAGTTACCGAAAACTGAAATTAGCATTCTCATATAAGAAAAGATAGTGCGAGCACAAGAAAAAAAATAAAATACTATAAAAGGAGAACAATCAGATAACAAGAAAGAGGTCTTGGAATTATTGGAATTAAAATTAAAGTGCAGAAAAATTTTAAAACTCAGTAGAAGGGTTAGAAATGCAAGTTGAGAAAATACAGAAAAGAATGGAAAAAAAGACAAACAGTTGTAAAATAAGGGAGACAACATAAAATCAGAGTATCAGCCCAGAAAGTGCAATATCTGTTTTAAAGAAGTTCTACAAAAATGAAGGTATAGGAGAAGGAATCATCAAAGCAATTCAAGGAAATGGCCCAGAACTGAAGAACTTGTTTCCAGATTGAAAGAAATCAGGTCCCAGCACAGCAGATGGAAAGAGGCCCACCACAGCCCGTAGAATGTCAGAATCCCTGGAGTTAAGAAAAGATCTGAAAGCCTCCAAAGAGAAGAACAGTGTTGTAAAAAGGATCAGGAATCAGAACGGCTTTGGACTTTTCAAGAGCAACAGTAAACGCTAGAAGCAGCGAAGCAGTTCCTTCAAAATTATGAGAGAAAATTAATTCCAACTTTGAATTGTAAGTTTTTAGCTATGCTAGGTCTCAAAAATCTACTCCCGTGTGGTCTTTCTTTTATGTTTTTGGAAGATGTGCTCCACCAAAAAATGGTTCTAAACCAAAAACAAAGACATGGAGTACAGAGAGCAAGTGAAAGAGAATGGTTAAGAGGACAACCAGTCCAGGTTGAACGGGGCAGAAGTCTCTGGGAGAGACTTTTTGAAGATTAAATTTATAAAATGTTTATATCTAAATATTTTGAGAGAAGATTTAGGCAATTGGTATAGATTTTAAGTACTTAAAGTGATTTTTTTAAGTACAAGTCAGTCCAGTTTTTAGGTTGGGGAAGGGTTTGTGCAAGGAAGGAAAAGCTGGGAATAGCTTTCAGTTAACATGTGAAATTGCTTTAAGACTTTTGTCTGGAGTCCAGATTATAAGAAAAGGTAAATAATAGCTCTCTGCCACATTTCTCCCTTTGCAAGAAAGAGAGATATATCCTTTGGTAATGGCTTTGCTTCCTTCCAAAATTGTCTGTGTATAGGTTTTAGTGAAATAACAATTGATCAAAAACCCATTAAGCTAAAAGAATTCAAGGAACATAGATGATAGAACCCAAGATTCATAGGAGTTAAACACTTTCCCTGGAGCAGCCCTTCAATTGTTAAATGAATGTCTCCCGTTTGGATTCTCTATAGTTCTATTACTTTGTACCATTTACTATTATAAATCAATTTCTTTTAACAAAAACCTTGAAGGAGAAGTATTTATTTTATATC